CTTCCAAGTGAGGTGGTGCAGGCTCCCACCCTGGGGGTTTTTAAGAGGAGGTTGGATGACCACCTTACTGGGGTCATTTGACCCCAGTGCTCTTCCTGCCATGGCAGGGGGTCGGACTAGATGATCTGCTCAGGTCCCTTCCGACCCCAGAAACTATGAAACTATAAAATAAGATTCAGAACTGCAGATTCAGCATAATGCACCTCCTTCACACCTTCAGTTCAGAGTAGGGAGCCATTCAAACTATACCTGCCCCTTGTTTAGATGAGCGAGGGCTGGTCTGACAACAGGGCTCAAGCAGCCATGGGCATGGTATGGCATGGCATGGCATGGCACGTCACGGCATGGCATGGCATGGCATGACCATCACGCATTTGATCCTAAGCCAACTGTACTAATAGGCTCATTGACTTTGAAGGCAGCAAAACTATTGCCCATGGGTGTCTCCTCCAGCTGCAACCCAGCCCTGATTTCACTCATCTGTAATAGTCACCTTAGGGTGCTCCCAGCCCTTCTCACATCACACAATGTGCCTCGTGACCACCTCTCCCTAATTTTTCAGTGCAGACAGACTTAGAGCCAAGTTGCAAACTGCCCCCACGTGAGAAATCTGCAAAGGATATGTTGTCCATTGGCACTGGCTCCTGACACAGATTGCAGACAATTAAAATTGCTCATGCTCAGCAGTTCTAGTCGTAAGCATATTGATGCCGTTTAGCACGTTCTACTCTGAGGATTTCCCAGGCTTCTGGGTTTGCTGTTCTGACCCTGCATTTTGGCTCCATGTGTCAGGGGGTTTTCAAGCCTCCCCCAGAGGCGCTGGGTGCTGCTGCAGCCCAGGTTGGGGATGGGACTGGGCTGTGCCGATGCTCCTGCTGGGACCAACCCAAAGGGTCCTGGCTAGACGGTCTTGCCCCTCTGCTCAGGGTCACACCGACGCCATATTTGGGGTCAGGAAGGAATTTTTCCCCATGGTCAGATTAGTATGCACTGTGGGGGTTTTTTGCCTGTCTGTAGTGGAGACCATGATCTCTCCCTGGGACCTCTTGAGTACATATTAACAACCTTTTACAGCAGCAGGATGCTGGCTGCCACAGTCCCCCGGCTTCACCTGTGGCAAGTTTGGGCATGATGTCTTGTGTTGTGTCGGGGTTGATGGTGGCTTTAGGAAAAGTTTAGATGCTGGATGTGTTGGGGATGGTTTGGATGGGAATGAGCCTGCCTCAGGCAGGGGGTTGCATTAGATGTGACCTCTGGAGGTCCCTTACAGCCCCGCTGCTCTGATTCTCTAAGTTATAGACCCTGACATAGGGCAAGGGTTGCTGCAGTTTAAACCTCGCTGTTATGCTGAAGCCTGCACTGATCTCTGCCAGTTGCTATTTGGAATGAAGGCCAAAGCCCCTTCTTAACCTCTTGCTAATATTAGCACATGTTACACAAGAGAGGAAGTAAGTTGGAGGGCCAGCGGGTGCATTCAGCTTGGGAAGCCCTGTGCGTAGCTGAAATAAAATCCCTAAAGTTCAATCTTAACTAATTACCGCCTCCCAGGAGCTCTGGCTCTAACTGGTTCTCAGAGGTCCCGAAACAAAGGAATTTCTCAACGTCTCTCACCCAGTAACACCTCCCCAGTGCAAACAAGCTCATTAGCCAGACTCTGGTTGCAAAGGGAAGCAGCTTTCTAATGCAATCCACTGAGAAAAAAACAGGAAGAAAGCTTAATGTGAAGCTTCTGCCTGGCATTTTCTGACATGCCTTTCTTTCTGCTTCGGGGTTAAGACGGTACTGCTGCACTAACCGAGTCCGTCAGGGCTGTCTAAGCAGCTCCTAGCCATTTAAAAATGCAGTGTCCACAGGGTGAATTCAGCTGCACCACTGGGTTAACTGGACTGTAATCAATTGATCTCCCATAAGCAACACTTTTACTTGACCTTTGGCTCCAGAGGAGCACAAGGGTTGGGGCTTCTTAGCAGTCTTCACGTATCTGAAGGCTGAGTCCAGCGAGGATGGAGATCGGCTTTTCCCTGTGGCGGTAGGGGTCAGGGCTAGGAGCAATGGTCTCAAGCTGCAGCAGGGGAAATTTAGATTGGAGATGAAGGGAAACTTTCTGACTCTGAGGGTGGGCAAGCACTGGAACAGGCTGTCCAGAGAAACGGACAAATCTCCATCTTGAAAGTTTTCAGGAGCAGGTTGGACAGACACGTGGCTGGGATGGTTTAGGTCAGGGATGATCCTACCTTGAGCAGGGAACAGGACAAGATGACCTTGGGAGGTCCCTTCCAGCCCTGCTTTCCTGTGATCCTAAGGGTCTATGTATCTCTGACATCCAGAATTAACCGTTGCTTGGAGTGGAGGCTTCTTCAGAGACTCCTGTGTCTTGGGCAACGATGACAAAGTCTGCGTGACTCTCTGCCTTACGTGTCCCGGTAGGAGCTGCCAATTTGACTTGCAAATGGAGCAGCTGA